TATGGGAATATAACAGTAAATACTAAATATTAAACATTATTGTGCAGCACGTTTTAAAATTTTACTTCCTGTTTCAGCAATTGATAAAACTGCACAAACAATGATAAAAATTAGCATATAAAAGTCCAGGTGGTGTTATTGATCTACAGCAGTTTGACTGTTATACAGAAACAAAGCAAAACCGCCTTCTTTTTTTTCCATATGTAATAATTTCTTAAATATTACATTAGATTCTTTTTCTTTTTTTTTTACCAGGTTTATAATAAACAAGCTTTTCAGAGTGGTGCAGTTAGTGTACACGCACCTGCAGTCGGGACAGGATGTCTGGTAAGCAGGTTCCTCTTCCTGGCACTCTGTGCTGTTGTGCTTCCAGTCTCTGCCAACTGCTGACAACAAATATGCACACATGGACACAAATCCATAAACACAGTTTGTCAGGTTAACTGAACTTTTCCAGGCTCTAAAAGAGGTTTTTAAGTTACCACGAGCACTTTGCCTCTCCCACCGCGCACTTCCTGACTTGAAGAAACATTTTTATTTGGGTTCTTGTCAAATATCTGACAGGTTCATTTTAAGGACTTTGCACATTAATGTTAACTACTAGTACCTGAACTGCTGGTCCATGATGGCATTAAGCAAATGAGAACAGAGGCTTTTCATGTCTCCTCCGCAGCCTCCCTGCTTCTCTGGACGAGTCAGGTAGAGCTCCATGCAGGCCCACTGCTGATACTCCTGACTGCAGAGAGGAACAAATAAATAAAAGCAGGAACCCAAACAACTTTTTTTTTCTTTAGAGTTGCAGGGGAAGAAATTTCATCACAGAAAGAAGTATTTCAGATTTTAAGTTGACCAATCTCTCCTTCAAAGTCCTCTTCTGCACCTCTAGACCACCACAGCTTCAGTATTTCTGCTTGGAAGTCCTCTGCACAAGTTCGAGGTCTGCGGTGAAACAGCTGATTTGCAACAGGATCATAAAATCTGCAGCAACGCTTCAACCGATCTGTACGTGCATAAGGATTCATCCTGGAAGTGGAGGCTGGGCCAGTAGTGCATGTTTTTTTGCCTTTTTTCATTTTAAGTGCAGAGTTTCTAAACTTTAGATTCAACTTTTTAAGATTTTATTTTCTAAACTCACACGGTGTGTTTGCCGTCTTACCGTTCAGCGTCAGACAGGGCGTCCTCACTCCTCAGTACTCTCAGCTCATTAGCTAACCATTCTGAGAACAATAACTAGACAGACATAAGGAGACTTCATGATTATTACATCAATACAGCATGAATCACCTGTGCTCATCAATGCAAACAATGTTTGCACAGGTGTGTGTTTAATGGAGAAACAGGGGACCCAGCACAGACCTGATACTGTGGTATCTGTCCGAGGTGTTGGAAGGCAGCGTTCCTCCACAGATGCCAGGCCGTCTTCCTCCAGGTGTTGTTGGAGTCAGTGATGCTGCTCCACAGCCCGGTCTGTTTCTCCTCCAGTTGTTCACTTAGCCCACCATCAGCTACAGTTCCTCTGGCCTCAGGTAACAGTCGTGGGATGAGGTACAGAAGCTAAACACAAACACACGATAGTATA